ATAAATCTTCTCCCATGAGTCAATTGCGTGAAAAAACAATAAATACATTATTTTGGATTCTGCAGATGGCAATGTCCGTGGTGTTAATTTAAATGCGATACCTCAAACAACTTAGACGAAAATAAATATCAAGTTTAGGGCATAATTGCATGTAGATACAAGTTTGGACATTTCTTCGAAGCTCACGTTGAATAACAATAATCACATCTTAAGACGGCACTTACCTCTTTAAAAAAGAATAACATCTCCACCATAAATAGCTTCGGCCACAGCGCGCTTCAAATCTGGCACAAACGATAATCGTCAAAAACCCGTCGTCCTTCCTCGCCCCTTCGGGAATTTATTTCTTTAAAACTAAGCACGCCAAAACATTGAAACAAACGGCATTGTCTTCCGTAAGGAACGCAGCACCGCGTGTAAAAGTTCGAGAAAAAAAAAAATTACGAATGTACCTCACTACTTGAATTCAAAAGAAACCGTCCGCCGGTCTTTCGAAGTTCGACGAACGTCGAACTTTTACCTTAACAGTTCGAAGTTCGTCGAACTTCGGACTTTTCAGGATTCGAAAGGTCGAAACTTTTCGAATTCTCTTGATAAACAAGTTCGAAAGTTCGAAATTCATCGAACTGTTTGGTCAGTTAAGTTCGGAAGTTCGACAAGCATCGAACTTTGCAGCGCAATAAGTTCGAAAGTTCGAAAAAGATCGAATTTTCTAGCATAATAAGTTCGACGTTTCGAAAAGCGTCGAACTTCTTACCTTAACAAGTTCGAAAATTCGACTTTCGTCGAATTTTACGATGTAGACAATTCGAAAAATCGAAATCTTTCGAACCTTTTGAACCGCTCGATTCGATCATCGAAACTTCGATTCGAAAAAAGTTCGCGGCATCCCTACTCAATGCCGCGAGGCCGTTCCCTCTCCCTCTCAGAGAAACATGACGTCAACATTCCTGCCAAATGCGCCTCTTCTTTTGAAAAATACGGTCATCCGTTCGATATATCGTTGTATGAGTGATGTTTTGGCGTTTGTAACATCCCGTTGCACGCTTTTGCCGCGTGTTTTTGGGAATCCAGATTTCGGTTCAGCATCCCCTAACGGTATTCCAACGCCTCCTCCCTTTGGATTTCGGTCTTGGCGAACTATTTCGTGTGAACTTGGTGTCACTGCTGAGTCGGGAACGATTTCCTGAAGTCACGTCTTGGTGACGACCTTGACGTCTGGGTTGTAGGTCATAAGAAGACTTTCGAAATCTTAACTTTTATTGACAAGGCTTCTGGCGTTGAGATTCAGCAAGGAAAACGGTTTTAGATTAGATTGTTGCGTTGGTGTTACGAAGTGCTTGTGATAGATGGACTGATGAGAACGATCATTAGTTGGAAACTGGCGTCATTGCGCAGGAACTATACTCTGTTTCACCTTGTGTTGTACCGCAGGAAAAGCTACAAGCGCGAGCTCCTTGCTCTAGGGCACATCTCGGCGTCACATGCTCTCGTGCACCAAGGGCAGCTGTCAACGCTATGAGGTCGCGCTTCTAGCCTTCGCTGCGGTACGACATAAGGTGGAACGGACTATAGTACTCTCTTGTTCCAAGTATCGTCCCACTGAAATAGCTTTCCGTTAATGCGTATTATAAAAAAACAAAAAAAAAAAACCTTGTCCCCGTTTTATTTTTTGTTCCTTTGCACTTTCCCAGAGCTGTATACGAATTGTCTGTACACGAGGCGAAAAATCCTCCGAGTTGTTGTACACTGTGTTCTTCCATTTTTTACAGTTCTTTATGATCCGAGTCTTGTCCCTTCCGGCAACCAGTTTAAAAATAACTGGCCGGCATTTATTACTGACCGGTTTTCCTATTCTATGTATGCGTTCAATAGCAACGTCACGCACTTCTAGTAACCTTGCAGGTATATCATTGGCAATTATATGTGCTTCCGTGGTTGCTGTTCCGCATTGGGTTCGCTAACACCCTAAACTATAAGGTAATTCCTCCTACTTCTGTTTTCCAAGTCGTCTACTTTTCTGAGAAGACTCTACTGTACTTTGAAGCTCGTCGACTTTACACGCGTAACGAGACGTAACGAGAGACGCTTGACGAAAGACCGTCTAACTTATACTGTCCATGGAGGTCAGCTTATTAGTTGTTTCATTTAGTCGTGTTACAGTGTCAGAATTACTGTTTAGTTAACGAATGTCCTCAATTTCTGCAATGGTTGAATCAGGGTTTGGCTCAACATCGCCAAATAAGGGGAACAAGTCAACAAGACAATCGCACGCTGTACCAAACATAACAACCAGCGATCGTGGGAACGGTAGAAGCAGAAAACACACGTTGTTGCTACGGTAAGTGAGAACCGGACGGTTGTCTCTCACCTGAACGAAAAACAGGAGGGGATTTGTGAGACCCGTTGTCCCACAGCTTTCGCCGCACCCACTGATCGGGGACAGTCGTGCAGCCGAATATATGATATCGTGGAAAGGTGGCGTAGAAAAATGTGGTGCACTCTGCGCCATAAGCGTTGAAATCCAGCCGAGGCATATGTGGTCGCTGCCGAGAATATCCTTGAGAAGAAGCATGATGTTCTGCTGCGTCAGTATTGTTGGACCCGTGGGGCGCCTCACTTGAAGAGTGCTCGGGACTGACGAAAAGAAATAATCTACCACCCGCGAGGTATAGTTCCTCCATTTTCGTAAAAGAGGTCCGCGCCTACCAATTTCAATGAATGATTCGGGAGCGGTGTATGTATAGCAGGGGCTCAGTACCAGGCTTTCGGTGCATCTGACACATTGGACATCTTGAGACGTAGTCCTCAACACTTTGGCTGATTCTAGGCCACCAAACTGATTGGCTGGCTCGAACTCTGCAACGACCTACGCCCTGATGACCCCTGTGCTGGCTTTCCAGCACTTGGTCCTGCATGCTCGGCGGGATAAGGATGCGACTTCCCCTAAGAAGAAGTTCCTTTGACTACCGTGAGATCTTGGGACACGTTAGCATCTTTCTGTACTGCAACTGGCAGTGACACGCCCCTGGACCACGTCGCAGAACAATAGTTTCTGACTTCCACCGTAGTTGGATCTCACTTATCCTCTCCAGCATCTTGTTAGCAGCCAGTAGAAGTTCTACGTTGAGTAGCTCGTATTCCGTCAACACTACTTCTAGGCTTCTTGGACTGCTGGTGTCCGTTATTGCCCCCCCCCCCCCCCCCCCCCCCCCCCTGTTCAACGTTACTAGAACACCCTGTTGGGAAACTCAGCGTTGAAACCTGGGCAGCTGGCGGAAAACAAACGGAAAAAAGCTCTTTTTGTAGTAACTTTAATTGGAGTTTAGTACAAAGAGAGGGGCGCATGTTGTTTTCTATAATCTTTATAGTTTGCAACGTTTTGCGGCACAATTAATAGTTTTTATACAACCATGCCTCAGCGGTGATTTCAGGAAGCGCGTCCCGAGCTGGGGTGCATCTTAACTTCGGCAGTAATTCGCGGCGGGTTCGTTTGGGATACGAGGGTGGCACCCCTGAAGTCCCTTCCACCGTATATGTTTCGGCATAAAAATGGACGATTAAAGCCAAAACAGAAGTCACAGCGGACGCTATCGAATACAGTGCTCCGCGCAGTTCCCCGAGTGGCCGCTGCGGGAAAAATAGCGGCGTTGCAATCGCCATTAGCTCTTTTCCCGCGTACGGATCGGTGCCACTTTTTTAGAGTCTATGGCAGTTTCCCCACTGAGGGGTTGTAGTAACATTGCCCCCACCTGATTACACGAATTGGCAGGGTACATGTCATGCACGCTTAGACCGGGTGTACACGTCCAGTAAGCTCACTATTGACGTCACCGCCTACAGGATATCCCCGGCAGCTTTCTCCGACAGTCACTGGTCAACGTGAGCCTAGGAAGGGTGGACAAGCAAAGAAAAAAGCAATTTAGTTGGAGCTTGTGGAAGTTTAACGAAAGTCTGCTGGATGACGAGGCCATCTGTAAACGTATAAAAGACACCATAGCCGAAGCAGCCCAGGATCAGGACATTGACGCGATAGTTTGGGAAGACATATAAAATTATGTGCTTTGAATACAGCAAAAGAAAGGCCAGAATGAGACGAGAAGAAAATTATGCTCGGTTACAAGTCCTCCGAACGGATTATTGCCGAAGAGATTGTAACGCCAGGTATTTTCACCGAAGAAATTCGTGACTGTAAATCGCGCTTAATTGCTGTCATGGAACTCGAACACAAAGGTGCGATTATCTGAAGCAAACTTCGACCCCTAGAAAAAGAGGAAGGCCTCTGCAAATTCTTTTAAACTGAGGAGCGACTGCTAGCTCAGCACAACAGAATAGACACCCTCCACGCGATCAAAAGTGTGTTCACGTGCCAAAAATGATATCGAACAAGTATCTGCACGAGACTTTCGACAGCTTTTCACCACATTCGACCACTCGTGCGCACTGGAGAGGAGATTGAGAGCATGGGAGGCTCTGGAAGATCGCCAGGTTTATCGGCCCTGCATACGTGAAATTCAGAGTATCGGTAAACTAGCTAAACGTTCGTGTAGTCGGAACGTTTCATGTATGCAACACAATTGCCTAGCAATTTTTAATCCTCCACACTTAGCTGTCGCTGTGCACCAGCGAAGAAAGGATGACGAACGTGATGTCGAGAACATGCGGGCGGTTACGCTGGCTCTCCAAGATTTTTTTTTAATGCGGACGTTACGAGGCAGCTTACAAAATGAACACTTTATTTTCTTGACACATCACACGTAGAGAGAGAAGGAAAGATGAGACAATATTGAATCGAGGTTGTTCGTGACGTCACTTTACTTCTACTTCTTCCTCAGATGTTCATCACCAACACCTGAGGAAGAAGCTGAGGTAGAGTGACGTCACGGCTTCAATTCAATATTGTCTTTAACTGATAGAGCAAACCAGTGACCGAGTGTGACTTTGCCCCATCCGTTGGCCAACACCGCGCGCGGTTCAACCTGCTCAAACTCGATCCAACGTTAGGGAGCCTCCGAGTGTCTGACGTGATCCCCCGACTTGAAGTTTCCGTGTTCGAGGATGCGAATCAGTCGACCGGCTGTCACCTCCGGGCTTATGACAGTGCCAGTTTTGACTTTATCTGTAGAAAAGAAGAGAGGCGTTTAATGTATAGTATTCATAACCGATGGCTCTTAATTCGCTAGCATATTTATTATAGCTCCGTTTCACTCCATTTCTGACAGAAGCCCACCGGTACGACCCAATAGAGCCGACCAAACACTGCCAAAAGTACATCGTCACTGGGACTCGTGGTTTTTGTGCGCTTACCATCCCCGGCTAAACCAATCGCGCACATAAGACAACAAAGCGCGAAGGATCATGGGGCATTCACTGTTCATGGAGGTTAATGGCTATACGCTTTCAAACGGGCGGTAGCTTGTGCCACCTAGCCTTAGTTTAACAAGACAAAGATAGCGAAGTCGCACAAAGACGACAAGCGCCGTGACGATGCACTGTTGGGGCTCTTACAAACGAAACGTCTTGGTTGAGCTGAAAATGGGTGTCTTGATCTTGTGCACTCTAGCCGAAACTAGACCGGATGATTTTGTTTTCTTCTAAAGGGCGCGATTTTACGAAACGCAATTTCAGTTCCGGTAAGCCGTGAGTGGTCATATGCTGCAGGTGAACGCTTTCCGCGATTCTTCGTTAGCGTCGCATGCACGCGTGGAGGGAGATCGAGAAGGAACTGCTCATTGAAGGAACAAAAAAAAAAAATGGCAACCATAAGGGGAGCTTGGCGCTATAATTTCTAAGCACCCAGTGACATTAACAAAGACCTGGGGAGCACAGAATGTGTTCACTTCGCAGAAATTAACGCCACGCAACTCGAAGTTACTTGAATTGGTCACGCCACGTCAACTTCCCTCGCTGAATTTGGCGGGGAAACGGATGTCACGTGGCTCGATGTCGCGCGGCGTTGTCCCGTGACGGCTAGTTCTCCGTTATATTTAGCGAGAAAATTGACCTCACGCGACATCGGTTTCGCGCTAAAGTTCGCGAGTAAATAGACGTCCCGTGACGAGGCCTCATGACGGTCACGTGACTTCTGTTTCCCCGCTAAATTTAGCTGAGAAACTGACGTTACGTGATACTAATTTTTCCGCTGAATTTTGCGGGGAAATTGGCTTGACGCTCCTTCGTGAATATCCTTCGTGGCGGTTTTCACGTGGAATTACGGCTTCTGAAAGACAATGTGTGTTAAAGAATACTTTCTTGCGTGTCCGCTCTGGGACAATGGTTTGCAAGTCTGCAGGGTTTTAGGTCGTGAAAAGATAATTCTATAAATAAACCAATGAACCATTGAAACTTTTCACAACGGTGTCTTTAAGTGGTGCATTTATTAGAGTTAAATTTTCTGAGCGTAGATCTCAGAAGACTACTTGAAGCCTCAAAAACAACTAATTTTTTTTTCGTTTTGCTTTTATAGACAAAGACAAACGGCAAAAACTGTCGGGTTGACACTGTTAAGGACGTTCACACTCTTGCGACCTCTTAAAACTGGGTTCCTTAAAGCCTCTTACAACGAGAGGACACACTGGCGCCATCTATTGGTTAGCAGTGTAAACTTGGCGGTCCGGCATATTATCTATTTCTCTCGCGCAATATCCGTTCTTTCTTGGCTGGACAAACTTTTCGTCAACGTTATAAACGGGCCTTCCTTATTACGCACATTTGACTTCGGAAATACTGCAAAACCTTCGCTCTTGTGAAATGCAGCTCCAGGGTCACCGCATAGATGGCGCCAGCGTGCGAGTGTGTTCTGTTGTCCTAAGAAATTTTAAGAGGTTTTAACAAGTCTCGTCTCTCTCGGTCGTACCCGGTTGCAAGAGTGTGAACGGGCCTTTACTCCCATATGGTACCACAGACGCTCCGACCTGATAGATCTGCTTTGGGGCATTCTTCTTAAAAAAAAAGCTTTCACGTTTTGGCTATATGTTGTGTCGTCTGCTAGTGACAGCGCCAACCAAACGGTTTTTAAAAGCCCGTTCACACTCTTGCGACCGAGTACGACCGAGAGAGACCAGACCAGTTTTTAAGCCTCTTGCGATCTCTTCGGACCAGCTCCGCTGCTGCGCATTCGGTTCTATGAAGTCGCAAAAGGCTTAAAAACCGGTCTGGCCTCTCTCGGTCGTGTTCGGTCGCAAGAGTGTGAACGGCGCTTAAGGCGAAAGCATTAACTGTCCCATGAAACGAGCCGACGTCATCAGCTTTGAAGTCGCGCCAAACGGCACCTAAACTCCTTTCTTCAAGTGAAGCCGCTATGTCCCAGCTTTGAAACCCCGCGAAAAGCCTAGCCAAACAGTACCTATAGTTTCCCCGATCTTAAAGGAACGCAGTGAAGCAGATGGATTTCGGCTTCGGTCCCACTGCCTGGCGCGCGTCATATGGTGAATTCCGCTCGCAGATCTCGAGCGCTCCAAAAGCGCTCCATTCGGAGCGCGCATATTCCGCTCGCAGATCTGGCTCAAGTTGGTCATCTTCCGCTCGTAGATCTCTGGCAGCGCCCGCTCCACGGAGCGCCCCATACTCCGCCGAACTTGCTCTGCGGGATTTCACGGATCTCTCCGGAAGTTGACAGAGCGGCCCACGTGATTTCCGTCCAAATCGGCGGTGCGCATGCGCGGCGAGGTTGGAGAGATCGGCGGGCCGGTCGGGTCGTGGAGTTGGATCTGTTCGGGTGCGTCGGTTGTTTACTCTGGATTGTGACGGCTCGAACGCTTCCACCTCACGTAGATCAGAGATAAAAAGCCGAGAATGTGGAGCGTGGCAAATCGTAAGCGCTGACATCTGTGATCGTGAGAGGAAGAACGAGAAAAAGAACGACAGAAAAGCCGGAGGCAGGCGCAAGGTTAGGCCTATACATTCTGCAGCCAGTGATTGTTTACCTTTTAACACAGCATTCCGTCGGCGTTTTCCCGTGAAATAAAGCAAGAAGTGGTTAGGCAACGACCGCGCAAGTGATGGTTTGTTACCTCCCTGTTTATTAAAGTCGTACTAGAAATCTGAACTCCACCGCTGGCAATCGCTGTCCGTGCCCCGCCGCTTTGAGGCGGCCGAAAGGTATGTGACGGTGCCGAACGCTGACGTCTTCGTTATTTGTGACATGGGCGCCGTGGTACGTATAATTTCGCCCGGCCTGTGTCGCGTGTTACTTCTGCAGCTAAGCAGTGACAGTCGTCACTGGTCGTCGGAAAGATCAGCCGGCTGAAGCGTTGGTGGGCTGGTCAATTTCGAGCAGCGGCCATTTTGTACGGCGGAGAGAGAAGAGGTGTGGGGGAGGTCGCTCCAAGAATGCAAGTTTATCTTCCCCTGGTCGATTCGGAGCGGGTCCCACGGAGCGGAATTTCGCCTCCCTCGCGGATTTTGGAAAGCGCTCCAGATCTACGAAGGAATTCACCAATAGTTTCAAGGAACGGGGGCTTCCATTCGCCGCTGCGCGTCAGTTTCAATGACCGCCACCCCATGGCGCTGCGTGTCCGCGCCGCGAGAGCGCCGCTCCCAGGTTAGAGCGGCGAGGAGAGCTGAGAGAGCGCGCCCTCGCGCGACGCAAATACGCCGCAGTCTAAAAAAGGGGGGAAAGAACAAGCACGGCTTTCGCCTTCACAATTCATAAGAAGTGCTTAGGTGTACCTGGAGCCTTTTGTTTACTTACACATTATTTTATAGGACCTGCACTCATAAAATTTAAGTCGGATAAATGTACCGCCTAAAGACATTTTCGTGAAAAGTTTTGAATGCCCTTCGTTCATTTTTATGTATTTATTTATTTATTTGTACACACTGCTGGCCCGTGGGGCCGTGGAAGGGAGGAACAAACACACACACAAAAAAAGAATATGATTCATACCTCCAACAGAGCTACGAACAATAAAGTAGTTACAAGATTAAATAAAAAAAAATTTTTTTTACGCCCGGATAATGCTTTGAGAGACTCAGCAGGTTTTTGCTACTTGTGCACAACGCACATTCTGCGATTCTGAAAAGAGCAGTCAGAGGCGCGTTCGAAACACCTTAACTTCGTACCTTCATACTGGGAGCCAAAGAGTTCTTTGAGCATGGCTGTAGCCACCGCTCCTGGATCGTAACTGCAGACGGTCACCGACGGGTTCTCTGCGGCCACCACTCTCATGAACATCTCCCGGGCTGCCTTGCCTGCAGCAAAGGAATCGACGGCTCGAAGAACTCGTGGCGAAACAACGAGCCATAGGCGCCGATTACGAAAAAAACGAGGGTGCCAGAGCGCCCCTCCCTCCCCTGCCCCCCGTCCTTCTTCCGAGCTCTTCGGAAAACCAAGCACCATCGCCTCCGGAACCTTAATTAATCTCATCTGTGGGCCCCTGCCCGTACATATCGATAGCTGGCGCCCAGTGTATAAATAAAACTTTCACTGACCGCCCTGCTGGCGCCCAGTGGCTAAATTAAAATTTATCTTCTAACCAGCTGTAGTCACTGAGTGACCAGAGCTGTTGAGTGGATTTATCTTTGTAGCCATTCACGGCAGTCCTGTTCGAAGACCCTACGTAGTATTGGCAGAGATGATAAAGGCTAGTGCTTGAAATTCCTTCGAAAGCCATCAGATGTAGTTGCGAATGACGACAGTGGCACGTCTAGCGGCCGTGGAGCCTACGAAAGTTGATGACAAAGTGTGTTTTGTAAGCCCCATTTGTTTTTCCCAAACGTCGAAACAATTCATTGCGGTCGGTGGGCTTGAACCATGGAATTCACTGATCACGACTGCAATGACAGATAAGCTATAGGATCACAAAAGCAGAAAATTGTTTAGGTATCATGCCGTCAGCATGCTTATCCTGCATATCCTACGTTATCCAAGGGATTACACACGTTTGGGACGTCTCTCTCAAGAGACGCCCCAAACGTTTCCCGGGAAGGTAAGGGGCCTGGGAAATTGAGAACTTTCCGCCTATGCAATGAGCCGAGTCCGTGGCTGCAAATCTCCGACGGCGAGCTTCCGGAGTGTGGAGCGATTTGGCGCCGTGCCTTCCACACTTTCAAGATTGCCGGTCTTCGCAGACCGTAAGTGTGAGCCCGTCCTGGGCATCCGTATGCCTAAACGGCGCACTCTCACAAGGCGCCCGGTGAATACCCTTTATTAGCGGCGAGAGGTTTTTGGTGGCGCCCTCGTATGCTCCCTCTCTTGAAGTCATTATCTTGAGAAGAACAAGTCCGATGGTGTTTTGTAATTAGCATGGTAGAAGCCTGAAATCATCGAGCCCTGAAACCAACACTGCCAACGCCGCCGAAATGGATGTTCTTACGTTACTGTTATTTCGGTCTATGAGAAATCCTTTGCTGACGTCATAGTCAGCATTCAGCCAATCGTGGAAGGCCGACCACAGCGACGCTTTTGATCGCGCACGTCACCAATAGGTGAAGGCGCTGTTTCCAAACTTTTGGGGAGGGGATCGAGGAGTGGCCGCTCCTTAGCGGTCACCTCTGGAACTAACGCTGTGTGGCAAACAAAAACCTTCCGATAGCAGTCATTAGTGCATTCGCTACCGTGGAAGACGACGACGCAATGCTCTTGAAAGCTATTCTTTTCTCCTAAACGCACCTAGAATAGATCTAGTTTCTTCTTACGTTCAATGTCAGCGAAGTCATCTTGGAAGGAAAAACAAGCACAAGTGTGATCACGCGCAAGCGTGCCGGGCCAGCCACGTCGTGTCGGCCGCTCACGCTGTACTCCGTGGACGGCTCGACGTCCGTGTTTTTTTACAGTGAAGCTGTTATGCCCTAGGATATATTAATTGGGGTTGTGTGGATATTTAGACTGCGTGTAGTTGGTCAGCCATTTCAAAGTTGCGACGAGTCACTCGCTGTAAATGACAAATTTAGCCAGTGGAGTACAACTGCTAGGCTGGGGTCTTTAACGTACACCACGCAGTAGTGGTACACGACCGCATGCCGGTACGATGCTCATCCGGATCGAAACGGGTAGGGGTGGGAATAGACCGATCTCACCAAGCGTTCGGCGCATGCGTGACGCCGCCATAACTTTAGTTCGCAGGAGGCAGGCAGCAGTGCAGAAGACGGCTCGTGCCGCCTCATGCTCCGCACGCGCACAGCTCCAGCGAGGTTGTCGCACGTGCAAAAAGACTAAAGCTTCTCGATGCATGGCGGCAGCGGTGGCGTAGACAAACTGACTGGTGAGGTCGGTCTACACACCGATCTCACCAAGCGTTTGGTGCTTGGGCGAGGCAGCCATAACTTTAGTTCACAGGAGGCATACGGCAGTGCACGAGACCGTTCGTGCCCAGCACGCGCAGAGTTCCAGCGAGGTTGCCGCACGCGCAGAAAGACTAAAGTTCTCTCGATGCATGGCGGCAGCTGTGGCGTAGTCAAACTGGCTGGTGAGATCGGTCTATTGAACTCAGGGGTGCTATGTTGCGCTTAATAATCTTATCGGGAAGGGGGATTGGTGGCCGAGTGGGCTAGCGCACACCAGCTCGGAGCACGTGGAGCGAAAGCTCGGGCTGCAGAACCCAAAAATCCTGGGGGGGCTATGTTGCGCTTTTTGCACTCCCAGGAGACTAGGGAGAAGGAAGTGACGTCAACGATTAGAGCAAACGCAGATTTGATGTTGTCAGAAGAAACCAAAATCAACATACAATCTGCATTTGCTGCGTTGTTGACGTCACTTCCTTCTCCCTAGTCTCCTGGGAGTGCAAAAAGCGCAACATAGCCCCCCCAGGATTTTTGGGTTCTGCAGCCCGAGCTTTCGCTCCACGTGCTCCGAGCTGGTGTGCGCTAGCCCACTCGGCCACCAAACCCCCTTCCCGATAAGATTATCTAGGGCGGCGCGGGGACTGCATTTCTTTCTCTATATCCGGCCCTGATTGGCTGCAGGATCCTTAAAAGCCAGATTGCTTTTGTAATAAACCCACATCGTCTTCCAGCAGCAGAGAGTCTTTCTGTTCCTCGGCAGCCGTTCCGTCGTCGAAACCGCCGGAAAGGTAACAGCCATGAGAACGTAGCACAAAATTGTCGACTCGAGTAGACGGCTGCGCGTGATCGGGAAGCTCAGCTTCCTTTCAAATTCCAAAGGTGGACCGTACTTCTTCCTTCAAGTTGTCGTTGCTAGTCAAAGTCACTACCATATTGCCGAGGTCTTGAGGCTCTGATGGTCTGCGAAGCATTTAGCGCGGAGAAACTGCCCGGCGGGGATGAAATAATTCGCCTCACAGCACATTATCGTGAGCCTCGGTTCACCTTGAACCACTCTCAGGAGCATACGGTCTCGCAGTTCTTTTTAATATGCAAAATCAGTTCGATTGATGGAGCCAAGCTCGACGGTGTTCGGGAGGTTTTGAGTCGGCAAAGGTTTGCAACTATACATGGCTTGCACTGACGTCGCATCAACCGCCACTGCTCCGTACCATGTTCCTGTGCCCGCACCTGCTGCAGCATATATCGCACCTCGGCAAGCCTTGCCGGGAAGACAGATTCAATGGTGCGAAATGTATGCGGCCGAAAATACAAAAACAGAGCATGGTAAGGAGAAATGGCGGCTGGTACGGTGCCATATGACGTCACGTGCAAAGCATACAGGTAGGTGATAGCCAGGTGGTTTAAGTCGGCGCTGGTTTAACGTGCTAAGAGACGGGGAAGGTGCTACGTGTTGCAATCAGTTCGGTTGCAGTCGGTTGATGGGCAGGTTGGCCCCCAAGCTTCAATACCATCATCTGAAGGATTGGCAAGAACCCAATCTCTCTTGGCAAGTTAACGCCAAGTTCAAGGATACTATGTCACCAAAGTTGCACGAGGTTTTACCTGCTCGCATTTGTTGAAAACAGATTGGCTGTGTGTATGTTTATTAAGCCTAAACTTAGTGTGCCTCGACGGGCGACTTGTCTCCTAGCTTTAGATGAGAAATTTTCCCAGTGCAGTACAACCGCTACCCTGGGGTCTTTAACGTGCACCACGCAATAGTGATACATGACCGCACGCTGGTCAGAGTGTCGAGCCGAAATTTTTATCGGTTCGGGTTCGGGTTCGGGTTGGGGTTCGGGTTCACGGCTTTCGGTTCAATTCCAGTTCAGTTCTGTGGAGAAACGATAATGGTTCAAGCCGGTGTAAACCGGTTTGAACCGCTAAAGTGAGAACATATTTTCCGCGATGTTTAGGCAATAGGCACTATATACCGTCATGGAATGACTAGCGTTAAAGTTTCTTTTACCGTTTGTGCAATCATCTTTTCTATTCCGTATCAAAAATTAGAAACTGCGTTATTGAATTTCGACGTAACAGTAAAAAAAGACAAAAAAACTTGTTTAACGTACAATACGTCGTGTTGATACGACTCAACATTCATTTGTTTACCTCAGTCACATGATATATTTTACCTCAGACGAAAGGTTGTCGTGAAGTGAGGTAGGTCACTTATAATACCAATAGGGAGTTTTAGAATAGTGCACGCTAAAGCTTTGCGTACGCAAAGAATAGCGTCGTTGCCACTGCGCATGCTCCGAACGCAAACCAGGTTTTGCGCTTTGCGTGCGTAATTTTAGCGTGCGCTATTTCTTGGAAATAGCGTGCGTACGCAAAGAGTGTTTGCGCTTCTCCAAGGAGGATTCGTGATGAGAACTTGGCTAAAGCCAAGACGAGCACAGTTAAAAAAATGGCGGCTTCCAGGATTATGTTGGCGGCTGCTTTGGCGCGGCGTCGTGAGTGCGACGTCGGCGGCATCCTAGCGACTGCGATTTTCAATGCGGGACGACATTGCACGTGGTTTGGCAACGACCCCCGGCAACTTGATGCTTGCGACGCGCGAACATTTCTCGGCGAAGGTACGATGTGCAAAGGCCAGTACACGAGACCTCTCTTGCCGAGGCGACGCAAGCGGACGCGACCGGTCGACCGCTCGCGTCGCATTCTCACGTTTAAACGAAGCTAAAATAATACTCTGGACCAAAAAACTTTTTTTTTCTTAAGTTACAGCATTTCGTGAGTCAAATAAAAATTGTGACTGTATCTTGGTGGCGTCGCAAGCGCGAGACGCTTGGGCTTTGGCGTCTCGACGGAGAAACGCTATTCTAAAACTTTCTCGCGTCGCATGCGCTAATACAAGCGCCAAATGTAGCGCTAGCGTGCGCTAAAATTGCGTACGTTATTCTGAAACTCCCTATTATTTGGTA